TTTACGCCGAAAACCTTCTTGATGTTGCGGAAAGCAACACCGAACAATTAGCATTAGATACAGCTCTTAGGGACACCCGGCGCTGATCCTTACGTTTGCAAGAAAAAGCGCAAACACGAAGTGATTTTTCAAGTTAATAATTTTGATAGTAATGTTTATTAATCAATTTTGTTATTCTATTTTCAAATCCAACCCGATAACTCATGTTGATTACCATGGTCAATGGTCGAACTGACGGATATGGAGAGATATCAGCCCTGTTGAAGCAAGTATCTTCATCAAATAGCTCAGTCTCGCTAAAACAGTAATTCACACATAACAAACAAAGGATTCAACAAATGTGGCGGAGCTGACGTAAAAACGTGTACAACAGTCAAACGAATTCGACAAGTGTGGCAGAGTGGAAGTAAACGCGTAACTCCACGAAGGAAATCGCGAGAAACATTTCACGCAAAGATGGCTACGGGGATGTATTATGCAAATATCCAGTCAACAAGAAACCATTCAAGCCAACAAAATTTATCAGTATTATTCATATGCTCATGATATCATTAGTTTCCAGGATTTTTATTATGTACGCTATAACTCTGTTTTTTTTAAAACTATTTCTCTTCCAAAATTCTCCTTTCTCCATACTAAATTTTCAAAAAAAAAAAATAAAAAAAAAAGAAAAACACAACAACAACAGAAGTTTATATTTCACGGCGCTAGTAATAATATGGGAAAAGTGGTTATCTTATTAAGTAACCCGAAGACCTGCCGATTTGCGAGCACAAGGCTGAGATCCTTGTTGCGTGATTGTGGCCTCCGGCCTCCTTGACCTTACCAAAGATGACCAATTATTTACCTGGCTCAGTCACTGACATAATATTTTATATATTTTTTTTGAGACCAGGAACGAAAAAAAAAGCCTGAAATGGCACCTATATTAATTAACAATGTACTTGGTGTCCTTTGCAAGTCTCAAAAATGTTTTGGATCATTTAATTTTTATTTATTCTCATTGTTTTTTCCTTCTTTCTCCCCTCATAAAGTGATTAGACTGTTCTCATTAATGAACTAGTACCGGATTTATGTTTTTTTGTCAAATAATGAATAATGGTTTTTTTGCTGTTCTTTGGACCGAGGACGGTCCAATCTTTCTTTTGTAAGGATATC